ATTTTTAATTTTGCCCGGGTGGCGACCACCAAGGGATCCTTGCACACGGGACCTCTGAGATGTTAAGCCTTGTCGAAGAAGGCTGGGTGTAGATCTTTCCTACCAGAAGATCAGGGGTGTGGCTGAAAGACAGCAGTAAGAAGGAGCCAAGGACTCGGGAGTGGGAGTAGGAGTAGCAGTAGAAGGGCTGCAGAGAGAGTCAGGAGCCCAGTGGAGGGGCAAAGGTGAGGGGCTGGGGAAAGAAAGTCGAGACGAAAACAGACGACAGAGTATTGCAAGAGAGAACAAAAGAAGGTGAAAGGAGACAATTTTAGAGAAGAAAATTTTACCGCCACTACCCGGATTCGAACCCCGAACCTTTGACTTTTAATGAGAGGCGAACACCTTAACCTCTAGGCCACGAGAGCCCCCTCGGATTCAACGAAAGGAGATGGACCCCACCCCCCTTTCATTTTTTTCTTCTTTAAAATCAGTAAAATAAAACCCGGATTCAAGTTTCAACGAACACTTAAATCAGCAAGCTCGGATTTAAAGAGGTCGCTTTCAGTTTTCAGGGTGAACAGCCCCCGCAGACGCGGCGTCGCTCATTTTTCTCCAACAACGAACTTTTTGTATTCCCGGAAACCATCCATTGCTGCACCTGTATCGTGAACCATTAATCGCTTTGCCGATTGCACGCAACCAATCAGCGGCCTTCTTTCACACCAACACACGCGTTTTTGGCATGCACACAGGTTCGGATGGCGGCCTGCACACGTGTGTGTGCGTGTGTCGGGGGGGCGTGCGCACCAGCGACCCGGGTGTGGAACGTCGAAGATACAAACTCGTCACAGTCGTTTCCCCCGGCAACTGATCATTATTACAACGATAAGCTAGTCTTGACGTAGATTTAGATTTTTTTTTTAAGTAATGAATCGTGCGCTGGTCTATGGAATCAAGTTGCCGTATGCTAGGCTCTACACAGCAACAGAACTTTTTGGCAAACAATCGAGATGACACAGGCGTGCATTTGAATGAATCAGTCTTTTTTTTTTGCACAGCTCATATTCATATTAGGCCTGGGCAGAAACCGAATAAATTATTCGAATAACCGAATACGAGCCCAAAACTAGGTCTCCGGTTAATTTTTCCAAAAACTAGGTACATAGTTTCTGATTCGTTTTTTTGTTGTTGTTGCTATTGATTCGCTTTGAGAAGCGGAAGAGTGACGTGCCCTTGGCGTTGCACAGAGGGTGTGGGACGGAGGAAAAAGGAGGGGGTGGGCGGGGAGC